TTACGAGATCTTTGGAAAAACCAGGTCAAGCGAGACTTAGATTTTCTACTGCTCTGGCGTCGTACCGGATTTCCTACGAATCCCAGGACTAACACCGGGTGGATATTGGTAGCCGTCCGAAAGCGTTTCTGAAAAATCCATTAATAAAAATATGATTTTTCGATTTTTTCGATCTTATAATAACGTTCAGTGGGCAGAATTAACCATATCCTGAAGTTTTGAACTCGTTCTGATGTATTTTGAGTGAATTGAATTTTTTAGTATTAGGTGAAAACAGCCTGAAAACCGCAATTTTTGGTAAAACTCCCCTTTTCGCTAGATTTTTAGAACTTTTTGTAAAAGCAAATATTGCCACGAGACTCAGCATGATCGATTACCTATAGTCCATTGGCCTTAAGGGCTACCAATAGCCACCAGGTGTCAGCCCTGAGACTCACAGGAAATCCGGTACAACGCGAGAGCCGTAGAAAATCTAAGGCTCGCTTGACTCCCATTTCAAGAGCACATCGCGGGCTATCAGCCCATGAAAAAGATTAATATAATCCTACTGGAGAAGTTTTACATACGACCTGGTTTTCCAAAGATCTCCTAAAAAGCCTGTTTCAGAAAACTCTTCTGAAAATAATTCTGCTTATGGAAACATGCCTCCAAGTTTTCTCTTTTGCATGGTGAAAACCGAATCTGTCTAGCTGATTTCTATCAAAAGTTATTCAACTAATGTCCGCTGCTCTTGTATTTTGAAACAGATAGTAGATGATGATGCGGACGGATGCCAGTGTTCATTGATGGTGGATTGGGATGAATGAATAATTGATTTATAATATGAATACTTCGTTTCCCATCAACTAAGTTAATTAGTAAATCGCAATTGTCAACGACTTTGATCAGAAACGATCCTTTGAGCATGCACGTCGGTAATCCATTCGACGTATACTCTTTTTCCGACACAGTCGTTAATAATCGTTGAATCGAGTCATACGAAGAAACCATCCCAAATTTGTTGCATGGTTCTACACCTACCAGTGATTTTGTACAGCGCAATCCTGAAAAATCAAAAGTCTGTTTTAGAGAAGACGGCTTCGTCTACGGTGACGCTCAGTAAAAATTATCTGTAGCGAAGTATCCTCCTTCTCCTTCGGCAAAAGATATTTCATTATAAACGGATATTCACCCTAGTAACAGTTGTTTTGGATTAAAATTGGTTCGTTCTTTACAAGCAATCATATCGAAACAAATTGACAGTTGTTTCAATTGTTTATTTTGATCGCACTCAATAGCATCAAGAGCCAAGTTTGTTGTGATATTCTGGGTAAGAAACTGGTTAAAATCATTTTTGTTCATTGCATAGTTTAATAATGTTCATTAAGACGACAGGAATATATTTCGCGTAATCATCAAAATTCGTTAAACTCAGAACTGTTATTTTGCTGCCGTTTTCTGTGTTACTGTTTGTGAGTTCGATCTCACGCCGAATTACTCGTGATGTTGTAATCAAGCTTTCATTTTCTGTATTATTGGGCATCTGTTGACGTCGAGACGCCAGCATCATTGCTTACTTGAGCAAATAATGCGGTAGCCAGCAAAGGTTTTCATTCGCTAAACAAACGTCCGGTAGTGGGTGACTGCATCTCCTAATTCTCTTTAAGTTCATCTTCATCTCGAAATAAATACGGATCGCAAGGCTCATTTGGTTCAATATTCTGTGATTGTGAAGTGTCTGTATCATGCCAAACAGTTTCGGTAGAAGAGTCTGCTGTTGATTGTTGATCACCGTCATCAGTTGAGGGCCGCCGTATGATATCGTGTAAAAGATAGAATGAAGACGTGACGCATGTTTGAACCATGTGAAGAAAATCTTCTTTGATATTCGACTGCGATACGTTGGAACATATCTCTGTCAAATCTTCACATAAGTTGAACATTGTTAAGTCTGAAAGAAAACCAACTTTTAGTAGGTTTAAAGAGTAAAAAGAATTTAGTTTAAAGAAAAACTCCGACGAAGTCTTTGCAAACAATCCTGTTAGCGATAGTTCCGTCTGGTCTAAATTCTATAGAGACGATTTTAAACCCGTCTTCGCACAAAATTTGTATTTGTAAGTTCTTAGATACAGGCACGTGTTGTTAGTCTTTCTGAGAAATGAGTGTTAGAACAGATATGGATAAAATAAGATATTTACCAACTTCATTGTGGCCCGATGAGACGAACTTGAGTGTATTTGGCAATGTAAATGATTGCTCTAAACACAAAATAAGGAAATGTTAGAAATTACAAGAGTATCCCAGTTCTTACGTGAATAAAGTTGCATTCGATTAAATCTTCGAGTTGATGTTGTCGCCGAGGATATATCAGCATGCGCGGAACCAAATTTGTACTCATCTAAACGAAAATATAATAATACTGAAGTCAGTAATGAACGGAAAAAGAGATTAGGAAAGAAAGCTAGTTTATTTTCTAGATGAAAGACAGCTGCTACGTTGCTTGATTTTCATTTTCTAAATTATCCGTGAAGGCCAATAAACTCGAGATGTGAATGACTTTTGTGTTACTGGCGACTAAATGATTAATGATCTAACGGCCATGCAATGTCGTTGCTACGGATTCCGTCGAATTTTTTGGCCAGTTTTATTTTGCCTTAAATACATTGCAAAAGAATTCTAATCAATAGTTATCCATTCAAAATAAAATTGAGCTTGTAATGGGCCAGATGCACTTGAACTACACTTAGACTACATTAGTGATTTGAATAAATGCAGAAGTTTAAAGCACTAATGTAGTCTAAGTGTAGTTCAAGTGCATTTGGCCCATTACAAGCTCAATTTTATTTTGAATGGACAACTATTGATTAGAATTCTTTTGCAATGTATTTAAGGCAAAATAAAACTGCCCCCAAAAAACGTCTAAGAATCACGAAAGGAAGCACTTTTTTTTTCTTGGCCGTTAGACCATAAGTGTGGCAAATCATCCAATGTTTTTGTGAGAAAATTCAAATACGTACGAGTGATCAAGTGAGACGTTGGTGAGGATCGTACTTGAAAGATAATACGATGGGAGCTGATCAACAGAACAACGTGAATAAACTGTGGACGTATGACGCAGTTTAAATAATTAATAAAAAACGTACAAATAGATGTAATTAACGAACGAAATGCGACAAAAATTATAGTCCATATCAACATATAGGGACTTTCTCCTTGAGGCGTGGCAAACCTGGGACTAGTGAGCTTTTATAGCCCATGGTGGACTGGGTGGATCGGCACTAGTGTGGCTCCAACGTATGGCCGACACTCCAGCAAAAAAATTATAATAAAATTTGCAGCGAAATAAAGCAGAAGAATAATAAAAATTAAGCGCTGACGAGTTTCGAATCTCGGCACTCGCTTATCGTCTGCGTAGCTAGTGTTTAACCTATTTTGCCATCGGCGCATTGTTAGCAAACATAAATGAATGTGCGAATAACGACGTAGTTTAAAAATCTTTATTCTTTAAAAACAAGTGAAACATAAATGATAGAGAAACGACGATGGACGACAACGATGATGATCTAATCCTTTATGGACTAAAAATGACTATATATATGTATATGATAAAAGAAAAAGAAGTCTATGGAAGTCTATAGAAAATGTGTGTGTGTGTACAGAAAGGACGAACGAGAAAAACGAAAAGAAAACGTGACATGTTAGAGCCATGCTCTAACACGCATATCAACAGATAAGTATTACTTACTTATTCTGTTCTTTTCCTCACTAAAATAGAAATGGGACGAAATGATATGTATAGTTTTTAAAGCAGCATAACCTAATCTCTTTAAGATCAAACTGCAATCTGTTCTACTAGAAATTTGTCTTAGAAAACAGATCACAGGAAAATAATCAGGCAAGCAAGGGAAGTTGCATTCTTTATATTCTTTCTGCTTGCTTTTCCAATAGTCGAACAAGTTTATTTAACTTTATTCAAGAGAAATCAAAAGGAATTCGACTAAAACCTCAACTCGACTACTAAAAGTCGAATCACTGTTGAAAGTTATTCATGAAGAAGGTGCATACAGTCAACAGTATTTTTGACTTTACACCGTTCACAAAGATCAATACACAAATGTTGTGGACATACTAATAAGGTATCCATGATATTCTGACAAACAAAGTAACCTGAAATAAAATAAAGTTCTCGCTATTCAGCTCTCGTACGCTCGAAATAATTTAGAACTTAGAAAATTAATTTCTTGAAGGTTAGTTTCTCTTCGTCTCTTTCAGCGTAATCAGGATTGTTTAGGCTCCTTTTTCTTTTATAAAAATAGCAATGTGTATGACAGAATGTATATATAAGGCTCATGCCCATTTTGCAAGCAATTTTATTTTTGATCCCAAATTGCAAGCAAGAACTTTTTTTCAAACGTTGTCCATTTCCCATTTTACAAGCAAAAAAACTAACCAAAATTTTCCCATTTTGCAAGCATACTAAATAGAAAAGAAAGAATTTATATTATAAAGCTAAACGTTGTCTGATTAATTAATCATAATTATTAGAGTACTTATTTCGAGCTCCAAAAGCAAACCAATGCAAACGCCTGAAGTATGACTGGAACAAACTTAAACAAAGTTCCACACTACAAGCCGAATTTAACATCGAAGTTCAAAATAGGTATGAGAGCCTACTTGCTG